TTGAGACATATTCTCACAAAGTTCATCATTCTTTTTAGCAAGAAGCTCTTCTGTCTCTACTCTCATTTGTTGTACAATTTGTTTGGACATCTGCGTCTGCATCTGCATCAAAGAATCCTGCAAATCCTTTAAAGTAATATAAGGTGGTGAAGAGGGTGGAGGAGTTTTAGCTCTCTGTTGTGTAGTTTGTACAGCTGGAGAGGAAACAGCTGATTTAAGTGGTGCAGGGACTACACCTCGTTTAGAAGCCATTCTTGAATTTAAAAAAGATCTTAATATAAAATCCAAAGCAGCAGAAAGTCAAACAGATTTTACTTTAATTTTTCCTTATTTTTTAAGAATTTTTTTCCAGCTTTACAATGTAGCAATCCACAACTGGAAGGAAAGTGAAAGTGTCTCTTTAAAACAAAGAAGCGGCTGAGCCGCAGCCATTTTTTTTTCCTCCAAAAGTTAACTTTCGATTTTCAATCATTTGAGAAGGGTACTTAATCTTCTGAGTCACAGTTTTAATTTATTTATAAAAAGTCCAAGTTTCCTAGTTAGCTCCGTCTGTTAAAAGTACTCACAAATAAATTCCGAAAAATCATCAGAGGTGGAGACGGCGTCTGGCTTCGCTAATAGCGAAGACGTCCCGATCTGCGGAGGAACTCTGAGCTCCGGAGGAGTTCTCACCTTCGCCTCGCTGGAAGCACCCAGGGAGGCTAGGGAACTCGACTCCTACTCACGAGTAAGCTCTCCTTCTCTCCTTTGCCCGGAGAGAAGTTTCAAACCGCCAAACAGCTGATACGCGCTGTTTTGGCGATTTTTACACAGTCCTGGACGGGAGGCTGTCAAACAACCTCCTTCGGCAGCCGCCGAGCCAACCGGAAGTCGTTATTTGTTTACTTTTGATGAGTCATTTCCTCAAGAAAAAATAATGGAAAGGCAGTCATATCACTTAGTTTCTATTTTTCCACTTAATCCATAAAAGCTAACATTGCAAAGTTGACTTTCCCACCATGAAAAGAAAGGTTTCCACAAAGGGTTATGACAAATAGCTATGCAAAATTATAAAAATAAGCCAAAATACTATGTACTAGTCACTAGTGCAATTGTTTTGGAGTAAGGAAATCAGTCTTTTCACTTTCACCCCCTGGAGGCAAAAAAGAGATCACAGGCCAGTGTAAAGCCGATAGTAGAAGACTGAAATAAGAGATGGTATTGTAGGGTCCACATACAAAGTAGATGAAGTCATTGATTTTCTTCATTTGATACTCCCTTTTTCTTTTGTTTTTAATCTTTCCTCCTCCTCCTCCCTCTCCTCCCCCTCCATTCTCCAGGTGAAGGATGGGTGTAGTATTAGACTCTGACCTGGGAAAATAACAATCAGAATTAATTTCTATGAAGTATCTATGCATTTGGGTTGCAGGCAATGATATAGTTTGGTCATTTTAACTCTGGACTTCACCCTCCTTCCCATTTCAGATTATGATGCTCATCCTTCAAGGTGGAGCTTCTGGATTTCTGAACAGCATTCTGGTCCTACAGTACCACATGAAGCTAAGCTAGAGGTTCCCACAGTTGGATTCAGTTCTTTCTCTTTGCTTCTTTCAGGCCGATCTCATCAACAGTCCCTACACCAAAGTCTGTAGGAGGCATGATCCAGGACCTTCAGGAAGACATCAAATGTTCCATCTGTTTGGAGTCTTTCATTAATCCTGTCTCCATAGATTGTGGACATAATTTCTGTCAAGACTGTCTGTTTATCCACTTGAATAATTTTCCCCAGTCTGAGTACAATTGCCCTGAATGCCGCCATCTCTGCCGCCCTGAACGTATGAAACCAGATGCACGGCTGAAGAGTTTGGTGGAAAAAAATTCACAGTTTCCTCACCTGGAAGAGGTCAATAAGGTAAGATTGCATCTAGGTAGAACTAGGAAAATTTTACTGCGTTGTATGTCAGGTGCAAGAAATCACAAACTAAGATAGAGTTCAAAACCACTACAAGTTTATTTCATGCTATCTAGATGCAAGTATCTGATCTATTAATGGTAAAGACAAATTGGTTCCAGATAAGAGTTAATGGACTTTAAGGGGAGACTTAGGTCTCTTACAGGGTGTGGTGACTCCAAACTGATGATGCATTTGACCCCTCCCTTGGCTCAACCTGGTCATCTCTTACATTGCAGATAGATAGATAGATAGATAGATAGATAGATAGATAGATAGATAGATAGATAGATAGATAGATAGATAGATAGATAGATAGATAGATAGATAGATAGATAGATAGATAGATAGATAGATAGATAGATAGATAGATAGATAGATAGATAGATAGATAGATAGATAGATTAGATAGATAGATAGATAGATAGATAGATAGATAGATAGATAGATAGATAGATAGATAGATAGATAGATAGATAGATAGATTTGAAGTTGTTTCAATAAGCAGATGAATACAGAAAAAAGCAGTCTTGCAGATGACCAGATTCAGAGCCACACAGGACCATAAAGGTGACAACCACAACCGTGAGCTACATCTGTAAAACAAGGTGCAACCAGTTCAGCTCCCAAAGCTGGGTGGACACCCAAGTATAACAGGAATCATTCATCATAGCCCAGGGCTGCCACATTTTGTATTAGTGTTAGCTTCCAAATGCTTTACAGGTGCAATCAAATGTAGATCATGTTTATCCAGACAAGAGATGACATGGATGAATGGGAGCAAGACTTCCAACCCAAGAATGGCTGAATTAGTGTACCAGATGTAAATATTCAAAAGTCCACCTGTCTGCAGCTGTCACCTATCTGAAGAAGAGTTATAAGTCAAGAAGGATCTCATATTGTGAGCCACTTTGAACAAGGGAATACAACTCTCTACAGAATTACTGGATCAGCACTTCCATTATTTGGTGTAGGGTTATGATATTATTACTGTTGATACCTGACTATGCTGGTGGATGACACTTCCAATGGTTTCACATAGATGTCAAAATCACCTGGGCCACTCCACAAAATAAAGGTCTCTGAGCAAAGCTGTCCTCTCTTGATGAGAACCACTCCCTAGGAAGAGAAAGAACCATTGAAAGACAATATATCAATGAAAACTGACTTCATTTCGCACTCCAAGTTATATAGTCCCCTTCCCAAAAAGCTCACAAACAGCACATTCCCTACCACTTCTGTCAATCTGGCATGGTCATCACAATTGAGCTGCCCTAGTTTCTTCTATCTTGGCTCTCTTGACTCTGACTGAGTAGCCATGAAAGTTGTACACAGCTTGTTTTGAGCTAGTTGTCTTCCTTTTCAGAAAATGCCAACAGCTTCAGTGGTATTGGGGCAGCCAGTTCAGCTGGTAGGTTTGGATGAAAATGGGGATCGTTACTTGGATGCGGAGGCCCTGAGTACCTGCTTACAGCAGGAAGAGGTGAAAGATACTCCTGTCTGCTTAATTTCCATCATTGGGGAACAGCGACAGGGCAAATCCTTCTTGCTCAACTTCCTACTGCGGAAATTTAAAAATCTGGTAAGTTTGACAATATTTATTTTCTTAGTGTTTTAAAATGATTTGGATTGGATGATACTCCTCCTATCATCTTACAGTGTTGTGTTAATTTTATTCAAGAAATCAAGCATGTAAAATGAGTTTATATGCATTGCATTTTGCACATTTTTTCAACTTTCTAAAGAATATGAGAAGAAGGAGAAATAAATAAGGCATACTACATTCCTTGTCTGAAAAGCAAATGTAACAGCTTAATAAAGGAATATAATCACTGAAGGTAGCCTAGTATTTCATATCTCATGGTATCTCACTGGTGGAGTACAAATGCTTCTTAAGGAGTTTCTAAACTCCCAGGAGATTTATATCATAAATAAATCACAAAAAAAAATTAAAGAATAAATAATAAAAAAGTAACAGTAAAATAATAACATGCATTTCACCAAAAAGCAAATTGATGAACTTTGCAGAAATAAGGAGAAAAATAGAGAAAGTTGCTTGCCCAAGTAATGTTTTGATATATTGGAAAATGTATGTTATTTGTCTAACCATGCTATTGCAGCAGCTACATGTTTCCTGTCTCATTTATGTCTCAATTTATCCCATAGGCTGAAGGACCCAGACCTGGAATACATGGAAGTGAGTTGGGCTCTAAATATTAAAAGTGTGGTCCTTGTCCCAGGGAGACAATGCAATATTACCAGGCAGAGGTGATATAAAAAGAAAGTTCTCTCAATATAGTTAAAAGAAGGGGGCATAAACTAAAGTCCAGACTTCTGGTGTCCTTTGATTCCTTTAATTCAGGCAACCAAATTGGAAAGATCCTAGACTATTTTACCTAGTTACCTTGACTCAGATGCAAGAATCTGCCAGGTGTGGTACTCAAACAGTCCAAATCAGTTTCAGTATACTACAAGTAGTGAATCAATGCCTTGCAAGAGACTCCATAAGTAGTAGGGTTATGCAGTACTTCAGATCCATTTACAGAAGATGCTGAGGAGGATGAAAAAAAAGTAAATGTAATACTCTTTAAAGCACCTGTATCTTTTTCCAGGATATCTGGTAGCTACAGAAAAGCCAAGTTAAAGTAAGAAAATATGTGGCTGTTTTAAGAGTTTTGATAGGTGCTATGATCATACTCCAAAGCATCTTTTCCAAATTGTCTCCAAAGTATTGCCAAGTCTCATTCTGGAGTAAATATTAACAGGAATGTCAAATGATGCAAGAAAATCCATTTCAGTTGGATGATTAGGCATATTGATATGCCAGGGCAAACTGATCTCAAGAAGCTGTCAAGATTGATTTGCCCTTTCACCTACATTTTCTCCCTTGCTCACAGCTTGACAAAAAAACCAGGGTAGAGATTGTGGAATGGAATGCAAAAGTGGGAGGGAAGGTATCTAGGCAACCGAGGCATCTTTGAGAGCCTGCAAGAACACCAAGGTCACTAACGCAGGTGCTCGATGGAGAAGTGGACTGAAGAAGTATTACTGTTGTACCATGTGAACACCCAGTGGGTAGGGGCAAGGGAATCTATTGTTTAACTAAGCAAGCTTTCTGTGGGAAAACCAGAGCTGGTTTCGCTTCTTCTGTGCCAATGTAAATTTTCAGTAAAGTATTATACTCTTGATAAAATCATGTCCCAGGAGTTTCTTTTTCTGAAAATGCCAACTGGACAGTTGACAACAGCTTGATTAATCTTTGTCCCAATGGAAAACATGGGTACCTAATAGTTGTCAGATCCCTATCACTGCTGCACCAGTGTGTGTATATGTGACCTACTGTCTTTTCCATTTCCTATAATCTACAATGAAGATATCAAAACAAATAGTTCAGGAAAACCAGTAAGGAAATTTTCAATTTTACATGGTTGACTCAGCCATGAATGCAACCACTGAACAAAGGCTAGATCCCCACATCATGTTGGTCTGAGATACCAAATTAACCCATTGTCTGAATCTGCACATTCATTGAATCATTAACTTACCTCTGATGCTTGGCTCATGCAATTCACTATGCCACAAGAAACACTCTAATTTTACAAGTAATTAAATTTAGCATGTTGTACAAATGCAGCTAAAAATTCTTTAATTGATCTGAATAAATTGATTGTCTCAATAACATTAAAAATATTAAATGGAAAACTAACAATGCTTTGTCTTTGTATAAAAGCAATAGGTTAAGTAGTTTAAAGTGACTATTACATTTTAAATGGGGGGGGGGAAGAGATATACCCCCCACCAGCTTACATACAGTACTGTACTTAAGTCTACTGTCCTGAATTCTCTGGAATTGGTCAGGATACAAATGTGACATAAGATAAATGTGTAAATTTAAGTAGGTATTATTCTTGTCTTACCATAATAATAATAATACCATCGAACAACAAAATCTGCCTATCCCATGTCCTTGGGAAGGGTTCAATATTTGGATAAAAATGTCAAATCCAATTTAAACATCTGGCTCACTGTGCAATGAACCATTATAATATCAAAAATATAATTTTTATGTGCAGGTTTATCTTTCCTGTCATCAGACACCCAAGGTGGCCAACAGTAAAAACAATAACTCACAATCACAAAGTGAGAGAGGTCCTCACTTATTTCCTAAATCACGTTTTAGTTCTTCATCTCTGCTGCTGAGTGAACAGACAATAAGCTCGGTGAAATTAAATCGCCTGGTTTCATAGTCACCCACTTCTTTTATTCCACAGATGTTTTTGTACATAGCAAAGACTGTGGGCCATCAATTCAAGCTGAAGCCTGTTCAGGTAATGAGCCCCATCTTTTCCCTTCTTTCTTTTTACATTCATGTTGTGTATATATATTTTTCCTCTTCCATTGTTACCATTCCCTCAGAACTGTTGCCCTTACACTTGGTCAAAGAGGCTCTTTGTTCCTGAATTCCTCTTCACAGCAAACACCTCTTCCTCTCTGTTTTTTTCTGCCTGGTACTCGCATCTCTCTTTCCTTTTCTTTCACTGTGAATACTAATGAACTTTTTCACCCACTGCTATTTGAAAATGCATTATTTATCTTTATAATGCATCCATTTTTCATCTCTAGAAAGGACAATAATTTCTTTTCTTTTTTTACAAAAAGTCCAAAATTAGATAGACCACCATATTCCCACCATATCCATAAAAAAGGGGTTAGTTAAGTAGGATGGCTTATTTTTCCCAAGTAGACACCCTTACTATCCTGTTGCTTTAAGAAAGTTTCTCTCTGCCTGGTTTGAATGCCAGAAGCTAACCAGGTAGTAAGAAAGTTCTACAACAAAATGAGGTTTAGTGGGGTACCTTCATGCTCTTTCTCTTTAAAAAAAAATATGCAAAAAGTTAAAATACAAATTCCAAAAAAAAAATAATCAAGTATGCTCTTCATGCTCTTTCTCATCCAAAGCACAAATAGACAATCTGCTGTGGTATATGAGGTTTCAAGTTCCATCTTACAGAAATAAGAAACTCTGTTCAGGATTATAATTTTTCCCAACAGGTATTGTAAGCCATTAAAAGTCCCACAGAGAACTCACGTGATTCTTTTCCTTATTCTCTCCTGTCCTCTACAAGTGATAAGACAGCTTTGCTCCCCCTCAGCTTCATAGACTGGGAATAGAAGGAAGGATAAGTGAATAAGCTGAGGGGCCTTGCAGAATAAGAAAGGATCTGATAAAGGAGGAATGCCCTTAGAAGATAGGACCCATCATCCAGGGCCTGAAAGTAAGATTTCTCTAATAGGGAAGGATTCTACTTCCAAATGGTATGCATCACTCTCCCTGTTTTAGCAGCATTGATGGACATGCCAAATGGCAGGAGAAGGTGGTGAGACTGAAAATATCTCCTGTGGCTCTTTGTAATGGTTGAATCAGCCCTGTAAATTTACTGCCATATGTACAATTTACTTTCTAACTCACCTTTACTACCATGCAGACTAGGTTTGTTGTTCCATGCATCCAGTGGACATGTAGTGGGACCACAATAAGAGGGAGGAAAGGCAAATGCAGAATCCTGCAGCTTCTCTTGTTTTTTTGTTGCAGCATCTTGATGTCTTGGTTCGTGACTGGTTCTACCCCCCCACCTATGGATTCCAGGGGGGACAAGATTATCTCCAGGACACCATCCAGGTAAACCTGTTGTAGAAATTATAGAAAGATATCCTGAGTTGATAATGAAGAGATTCCATAGGAATCCATCTCCCCTCTAAAGCAGAGAAACAGAGTGTTACAATAGTTGCATCTTCTCCCTTCTATTTGTCCATTTAACCTCAGAAGCTGGAGGGTCAACCCAACCGGCATCCACGAGCCCTGCAAACATTCAAAAGCACCGACACTTCTTGTTACCTGATGCCTTTCCCTGGCAAGACATTGGTGATGGGAAATGAAGGCACCATAGCAGGCAAGAAGCTCTTTCTTTCAATTATACCTTCTTCATGTTCCTCCCACAAGTCTATACATCCAGCATTTGTATGAACTGTAGAAAAGAATAAACACAATTACTTCATTCTATTGCAAGGAGGAACATCAATTCCATAAATCCTTTCTGATCAGTGTTGGAGTTTAATAATAATTAGATCAATTCATTCTATGGCTTGAAATGGAACTATGAATCTTTGTTTTCTTAATTGGAGCTGAGATGGGGGAAACAAACCAGGGAATGGTTTTTTCCCCTCTTATTATGGTATAAAAATTGCTCTGAATTCAAAAGGCAATGTAAAATAACTGTAGTGAAGCCAATAAGATTATCCACTGTGCCGGAGTATTTTTTATGAAATAAATTTTTATCCTACAAATAATTTTGGTGACCAAAATTCACCAAACTCTTCTCAATGTCCTATTGTATCTGTCTGGCTGCTAGCAAAATAAGCCTTTTCTTCCACATCCCTTCTTTAGTCCTACTCACTATTGATAGAATCAACTTTGTAATCCCTTTGCTGCATTCATTTCCCCCAAACCTATATGATTACTTAAACATGCACAAAGCTTAAGTCTTGAAGATGTAAATAATATTCTAAAATCAATTTTATTTGTCCCACCACCAGAATCCACACACATTGGATATAGACAAACATAGAGACTGTTTTTAGGTAGGATTGTTCCCTTTTAAGGCCAAATACAACACTCTTTTGCATTCTGGAGTCTTGGACTAAATCAGGTTGCATTCAGATATTTTCAACTGTGATCTCCAGAAAGGGTAAAAAAAAACAACGTGTGTTTGCCAGAACAGTTGAATTGTTTCTTGCAGGTATGGATGAGGATTTTAGAGAATTCCTGAAGGATTATGGGAATCATGTTGCCAGATCAGCTGGAATGCATGTACAGAGAAATCAGGAGAGCAAACCTCTCACCGGGACAGAACTTGCTGATAAGATAAAGGTGAGAGTTATGGGAATCAAATGACGTAAGCAACCTACGCCTTTGAATTTGTGTTTAGCATATAGAGATTTCTATTATATCCAAAATAGATCAGTCTCTTGAGCTATTTCTCAATGTCAGGAACTTTAAGATGTGTGGACTTCAAGTTCCAGAATTCCCTAATTCCCTAACTACTATCTACCAAACATCAATGTATTCTTACATTACCTATTCTGACTCTTTTCCCCTCTCTCTGAGATTTCTAGTTTTTCTTCTGTGTTGTCACTTTTAACAGCCAGCAGATGGAGCAGTTTCACTTTTCTAAGTTGTCCTTTTCCTTGCTGTGCTTCTGTACATTTGTTCTCAGAACTGGCCACTCTTTCCAAAGGAAAAACAACTTCTCTTTTTGCTGCATATGGAGGCATAGCTGTAAAAACATACATCTCCTCTCCTCCCTCTCACGCCTGTGTCAAGATTGCTGCTTTATTGGCAACTCTGCTATGGTGGTGCTGGAGGAAATGAGAGAGAAATGAAAGGGAATGAGAGGGAAATGAAAGAGACCTAGAGTTATCTCAAGCAGCCAATCTTTGTGAGATGCCCTATTCTGGATAGGTGAAAAATGGTTATATGAGGAAGGACCCTGGAATCTGCAGTTTGGACTTAAAATTGTATGTGTAAATTGACAAGCAAACAGGAAAAGTCCAGCACTGCCTGTTC